GCTCCCACTTGATGAAATATACTTTTGGAACGACCATATTTTTTGAGGCTCTCTTAAACCTTTGATTGTAGCTGATATTTTTAAGAGCCCAGGTAAATAAGATAACTAGAGGCCAGGTAAACAAGGGAGGTGTGCCTTTCCTCCCCAGAATAAGGGGTAATCCACACTCTAGAAATAGACAGGTTAATGAGAGAGATGCAAAACTAATTTATTCAATCGAAATTTTATGTGACACAGGAGCCTTGAGATATACAAAGACCCAGGGAAAACTGCATTTTTAAGCTTAGATTCAATGAAGAATGGATAGCCGTGTAGAAATGTGATTGGACAAAAGGTTATGAACTAATGATAATAGACTGAGGGGAAACCCCAGAAGGCCTGTGTGTTCAGATTCTTCTTGGCCTCTCTGAGTAGCATTTCTTTCCTCCTGGGTATTGGGCAGGATCCATCTGGAATGAGAAGCTTCAAGGGAGAAGGAGGAGAGTGACCTTTCTAGGTTTTATGGCTTGTTTCTGGGGAGAGGAATTCTACTTTCTACAATCAACTCTTGGGAAGGGGAACTCTAAATTCTTTTTTTTTTTCTCTCTCTCAAGGCAAGAGTCTTGCTCTGTCGCCCAGGCTAGAGTACAATGGCAAGATCTTGGCTCACTGCAACCTCCGCCCTCTGGGTTCAAGTGATTCTCTTGCCTCAAACTCCTGAGCAGCTGGGACTACAGGTGCCTGTCACCACGTCCAGCTAATTTTTTGTGTTTTTAGTAGACACAGGGTTTCACCATGTTGTCCAGGCTGCTCTCGAACTCCTGACTTCATGATCTGCCCGCCTTGGCCTCCCAAAATGCGGGAATTAATTACAGGTGTGAGCCACTGCACCTGGCTGAGAAACTCTGGATTCTATGACTCAATTCAGGAAAGAATGAGGCATGGGAGACAGGAGGGCAGGAAAAGGTCAGAGAAACCTTCCTTCTGAGTCCTTCCAATCTCCTTCAGTTCAAAGTACTCAGCATGCCAAGGTGCCATGCTTTGGAACACAGTGTTCTGAACTCTGATACAATCTATTTATTACTTATATGACTGCCGAAGGAGCCTTTTTGGAAACTAAAATTTACTCTATATCTAGCCATCTACGATTTGGCTTTTATCTTAAGAGGTAAGACAGCTCAATGAGTTAAAAGCTATTGTTATTTATACTTGATTTTTGTCTTGCTCCTTGGCCAAGAGGTCAACAGAACAATTATTATTATTCTGTCTTTTCTTCATCTTCATGTCTCTTAAGGTCCTGATTATCATTTTGGATTCTACACTATGGGAGACTACGGCTTTTGAAAAGTCAGCCAACCAGCTTGAGACTGAATATACTCACCCATTTTATAAAATGAGTAAGCAAAGATGTAACATACAAACCTGCTAGATTTCTCAGTGGGATTGCAAAATAAAACTAGAGAAGCTGCCCAAAATTTTAGAATTGAAAAATAAAATGATGACTATCCTATTTTTCTATTAACAGAAGAGGAGACTTGGGACCAGCCTCTAGGGAGTCTGTGTGGTACCAAGAAAGACACCTGCAGTCATGGAGAGCTGGTTTTCAACTCAGGTGAGGCAGTGCATCAGCGTGACCTTAGCAATTCCTTCAACCCCTCTGCAACTGTCTCTCTTCCTGCAAAATCTAAAAACTGTTGCTGTGCCCTTCGGATGTTGAAAAGACTTAAGTAATATCATAGGCATGGGCAAGGACTTCATGGCTAAAACACAAAAAGCAATGGCAACAAAAGCCAAAATAGACAAATGGGATCTAATTAAACCTAAGATCTTTTGCACAGCAAAAGAAATTGTCGTTACAGTGAACTGGCAACAAACAGAATGGAAAATTTTTTGCAATCTCCCCATCTGACAAAGGGCTAATATCCAGAATCTACAAAGAACTAAAACAAATTTACAAGAAAAAACAAAGAAACCCATTCAAAAGTGGGCGAAGGATATAAACACACTTTTCAAAAGAAGACATAGCCTGGGCGTGGCAGCTCATGCCTGTAATCCCAGCTCTTTGGGAGGCCGAGGTGGGCAGATCACAAACTCAGAAGTTTGTGGCAAGCCTGACCAACATGGTGAAACCCCGTCTCTCCTAAAAATACAAAAAGAAAGAAAAAATAAATTAAAAAAAGATAAAAAAAACAAAAGCCATATATGAGGCCAACGAACATAGGAAAAAATGCTCATCGTCACTGGTCATTAGAGAAATGCAAATCGAAACCACATTGAGATACCATCTCACGCTTGGTGATCATTAAAAAATCTGGAGACAGCTGGGCACAGTGGCTCACGCCTATAATCCCAGCATTTTGGGAGGCCAAGGCAGTTGGATCACGAGGTCAAGAGATTGAGACAATCCTGGTCTACAAGGTGAAACCCCATCTCTACTAAAAACACAAAAATGAGCTGGGCATGGTGGTGCCCGCCTGTAGTCCCAGCTACGTCGGAGGCTGAGGCAGGAGAATTGCTTGAACCCAGAAGGCGGAGGTTGTGGTGAGCCGAGATTGTGCCATTGCACTCCAGTCTGGGTAACAACAGCGAAACTCTGTCTCAAAAAAAAAAAAAAAATCTGGAGACAACAGATGTTGGAGAGGATGTGGAGAAATAGGAACACTTTTACACCGTTGCTGGGAGTGTAATTAGTTCAACCACTGTAGGAGACAGTGTGGCGATTCCTCAAGGACCTAGAAATAGAAATTTCATTTGACCTAGCAATCCCATTACTAGGTATATATCCAAAGGATTACAAATTGTTCTATTATAAAGACACATGCACACTTATGTTCACTGCAGCACTGTTTACAATAGCAAACACCTGGAACCAATCCAAATATCCATGATAGACTGGACAGGGAAAATGTGGCACATATACACCACGGAATACTATGTAGTCATAAAACTGTTTGTGTCCTTTCTAGGGACATGGATGAATCTGGAAACCATCATTCTCAGCAAACTGACACAAGAACAGAAAATCAAACATCGCATATTCTCACTCATAGGCGGGTGTTGAACAATGAGAACATATGGACACATGGAGGGGAGCATCACACACTGAGGTCTGTTAGGGAGGACTAGGGTAGGGACAGTGGGGGTAGGGAGTAGGGGAGGGATAACATGGGGAGAAATGCCAGATATAAGTGATGGGGATGGAGGCAGCAAACCACATTGCCATGTATGTACCTATGGAACAATCCTGCATGTTCTGCACATGTACCCCAGAACCTAAACTGCAATTAAAAAAAAAAAATATATATATATATATAAAGTATAAAATGGACACCACACAAAGGCTACCACACCAGGTGCAAGGGGGGTCCCTGAGACAAGTGACAACATGGTCCTTTATGCTGTTCCTGGTCAGACAGCAGACCCATTGTTCCTTGTCTTCTCCGAGCCAGAACTTTCCTTAGGCACAGGTGAAGCCTCATCTGCCCCTGAGTAGGCCTAGCTTTGACATTCCCATCAAGGCCAGGAAGTGGAACGTGTCTCTTGGCTAGCAGGGGCTGAGACACCGCAGCCCAGACCGGTGACTAGCAAGTAGCACCCAGGATGATGCCACCCTCAGCCTTTCCTGAGACAAACACAGCTCCAACCCTCATTCCTGGTGAACTATGTGCAACCCACCCTGACTCTCACAGTGCCTTACTAAACTGACTTTCCTCTATCAAAGCAATATACCTGCTACATGTTGACATATATCAAGGGACATACAATTTTTATTTCCTGGGTTAAGAGGTTTCTGTCTTAATAAAAGCTGTATTTACACTATTGATGACTTATTAAAAAAAAAAAACTGCCTCTGCTGCTCATCGTTTGCTGAAAACTGGATACTTTTTCTTTTTTTTGAGATGGAGTCTCACTCTGTCCCCAAGCTGGAGTACAGTGGCACTTGAACAACGCAGTCAGCTCACTGCAACCTCCTCCACCTCCTGGATTTAAGTGATTCCCCTGCCTCAGCTTCCCAACTAGTTGAGATTACAGGTCACAAAGCCCAGATCATTTTTGTATTTTTAGTAGAAACGGGGTTTTGCCATGTTGGTTGGTCGGACTGTTCTCGAACACCTGACCTCAGGTGATACACCGCCTCGACCTCCCCAAGTGTTGGGATTACAGGCATGAGCCACTGAGGCTTGCCTGTACCATTTTTCATACTGCAAAAATGATTAGGCAAAGAGCTATAAAATCATGGAGAGCAACATGCAATCAACTGTGATTTCCTATGTGCCTTCTCAGGAATCATGAACTACCTGATAGGCCTTTCCCATTCTGAGATGAGGTCTCAGTCTGTCACTCAGGCTGGAGTGCAAGTGGCATAATCAAGGCCACAGTTCACTGCAGCCTCAACCTCCTGGACTCAAGCTATCCTCCCATCTGAGCCTCATGAAAGGCTGAGACTACAGGAACATGCCATTGTCCACAGCTAATTTTTACTCTTTGCATAGAGATGAAGTCTCACTATGTTGGCCAGGCTTGTCTCTAACTCCTGGGCTCAATTGACCTTCTTGCCGTGTTCTTCCGAGATGTTCGGATTATGGGCATGAGCCACTGCCCCGTAACCTCTCCATTCCCAATAACTCATGTATTTAACTCTTGAATGCCAATGAGATACACCAAAAAATAAAAAATAACTTAGGCTGATTCCTTGGGATAAAAAATACCCCTTAACTTTCTTACTTTAATCTCCCTTGGAATGTAGCAAAATCTTACCTGCTTACTGAAAGTGCATATGGACTTAAAGCAATCATATGCAAAACAGCTGAACACATGGTTAGGAATGTTGGAAGCTCGAGTCTGTTTGTCCTCCATTCCTCTTGACCTAAGATGCTGATTTTATCAGCACTGGGATATTAAAAACACTGTGTGTCAATCAAACCATAAAGCCTACCCCTTAGGCTGAACTGTGTGCATCTGCCTGGCCACATGTTGGGGGAAAGGTCCTCAGACACAATCACCAGAGTCACAAGGTCGTCTTGGATGTGGGCAAACCTCTTTTTAATTGCAAAAGACTTCATTTATAGCACATTCAATAATGAACCAACGGGAGAGCTGCTGACTTAGGAACATATGAGTATATAAAAATCCCTTGCAGTTCAGGTAGTCAAGATAATAAACGCATACAAGGAAAGCAACCTTCATTTTTCTGAAAACGTTTACATTTTAAAAGGTCACTAAGTATACTTGGAATTTTAAAGCGGTAGAATGTACCTTGGAGGGAAAGGAGGAGGAAAACCCTTTTCCATGTTGTCATACAAATTTGTATCAAATCTATCCCAATTCCGCTTGGTAAAGTCAGCTGGATGACCTCCTTGAACCAGGATAGGGCAGAACACTTGTGAAAGCGGGCCCCGGGTAGGGATGTGAATCCAGGAGAGGAGCACCAGACCCCATGCAGCGCCAAACACACCCGTCCCACCTTCTGACACAGACGAGGCACGTTGCCCATGTCCCTGGACCCGGATGCACAAGAATAGTCATCAGATGGTTACTGCTCCCACAGCCTAGCACTTTTTAACGGTCTTAATTTAGGCCATGGAGAAAAGTCCTTTACCACCAAGTGCAAACCGTCATTGAACTTAAGTCATAAATGATGCTAGGGGGCAAATTCTTGTAATACATATATAAGGACTTCTATTTACCTAATTAGAACAATGATCACACAATTGACATTCCTGCTTCCATAAGGGTTTGTTCTCTGCACTGGAATGGCTTAAGAAAATGTTGTCTATTTTTGGTTCTATTTTACACTTTCAAAATACAGGCAGTAGAGAGAAAAAGTGTGACTAACGGCCTAACTTTGGAGCCCAGCAGGTACAAAAGCGAACTTCTCTGACTCTGGGTTCATCAGATTTGGGGGAAGTTTCAGTGCATAGGGAAGGTTAGTGAAGCCCATTACACCCCAAATCCTATAGAAAGAATTCTACAACAGCTCATCTATCACACTGTTCTAGTAAAGCATATGCGGAAAAATACAAGTTTCAACCTAACATCTAAATTTTTAAAAGTAGCATTTCAGCAACAAACAAGCTCAGAGAGCTCATCGCAAAGTGAAATAATAGAACTACTGCTCAGATGTCAAAAAAGTCAAGCTGCTGCCCTCAGCTCTGCTCAGGCAGACACGTAAGGTGGTGGCGGCTCCTTGGCAGCACCATTCCCAGTGGCCTCATCATACGGGGGTAGCAGCACCTGAGAAGAAAGAGGGACAGTAAGTTAGTGTTTAAAGAGCACGCACGTTCCCGAGGCTTAGCTGTCACTGAACTTTTATGCAACTAAACACATTCCACAACTTGTACCAAGTTCAATTTTCTAGTAAGTGGATACACTTCATTAAAAGACTTTCTGAAACCTTCAAGAAGCAAATGGAGAGACACTCTCAAGCCCTGAGTTTTTCTAACCTTGTCCATGCGTACCTGGATGGCCAGTGGGCTTTAACTCTAGGAATAAAGAAATGGTCATGGCTCTGAAGAGGAAAAAGGACCCCTAGGTGAGTGTGTCAGTGTGCACACACAAATACGACAGGCACCTGACTGACCACCGGCAAACACTCATGGCGAGAGCTGCAAAGTGTAGTGAAAACACCAATCTTTTGGTATCAGCCTGGACTCAAAACCTGGGTCAGTCACACGTTATCAGCGTAGCCTTGGGTAAGTTACTTAACATCAGTTTTCATGACTATGAAATAGGGATACCTGAGAGTTAGCGGTCTACACACTGGCTGATTTGGGCTTTCTTGGAGTAGAAATGAAATATAGAATAGAATGTCAACTCAATATAATCACCCTTCATTCAGTAAACTAACATTTATTACGCATTTAGTACATAACAATCATTGTAGGTACAAGATAATTAATGTAAAAGACAGTCCCTGCCCTTTAGGAGTTCAGAGATGAGAAGACAAAATAAAACCTCACTAACCTCAAGTGATTGGTGGAAAGGGAAAGACTAGCCACAAACAAAACCACACATGGTTGGATTTTCTATTAGGGATGTCATTTATGCTCAAAGTGGTATTCATCAATTTCATGAATTTTCATTTATCTGTCCCTTTAGCTCCTACAAGAACAACACTAAAATTTTAAGTTTGTTTCAAGTTTCTGTCACATTGCACTCTCGCAAACACGCAAACACACACACACACACACACACACACACACGCCCCTCCTCTCTAGCTCTACACACTTCATTACTGCTCTCCTCCCAGGCCTGGAGCTCCTGTGGGGCTGAAGCTGGGTCTCACTTCCCTGAGGGTGGTCCAGTGCCTATCTGACAGCAGGAACTCAGATGTTTGCAGAGTGACAGAGGTGCCATTTAGGCTGGCCCCTGAAAAGCCTGTATGGTTCCTTCAGCCAACTAGGCAGAGGGCATCTGTATTAGCTGGGGTCCAATCAGAATGCAGAAGCCACACAGTGATGTGAATGAAGTTTAATGAATGATTAACAGGGGACTGAGGAACAGGGAACTGACTAACGGGGGAAAGAGAGCACTAATGGATATGAGGATTGAAGGAGGGCACTCAGGGAAGGAACATGCTAGGACGGAGGTCCCTGAGGCTGGGCTGAAACACGGCTGGGGAAGGTGTGCCTGAAGCCCCCTGGATGTGGAGAAGCCTCCGGCTGAACCAGGTGTGCACAGAAGCATCTGCGGGAAGCCACCTGAGAGGCAGGGGGTGCTGGCAGGCCTGTCATGAAAAGGTGCTGCTGCCGCTGTCCCCACTTGCACTGGGCCCTGGGGGGCACTGCCAACAAGGTCTGAACACCACAAAAGCACACAGGAATGGGAGAGGGACTTCCTCCTCCAGCGACCCCTGCTGGCCTGGCTGAACAGGGTCAGGAGGTAAAGGAGAATCATCCACAAGGCCCAGCCCAAGTCAAGCTAAACAGGACTCTGGAACTGGGATGCAAGAAGCAGATGAATGGCCAGCAGGCAACACACAGGCAAAGGTAATGCGCTAGAGTCACGCCCAGGAGCTCCCCAGCCTTTGTTCCTGAAAGAGGTAGTGACCTTTGCCTATGTGCTAAATACTTTATACATCAGGTACTACCCAAGGTACAGACGCTGGCGTAATGTTCGGAATTGCCCACGTGGAAAAGGAATGGAGTAGGCAAGATAGGCTCAGGACAGAACCCACGCTGGAGGCACAACAGGAAACCACGCCCAACAAACCAGCACCCACTGAGCATCTATATGTCCAGGGCACTTAGTCACAGTGACTCGAAACTGAAGGCATGTCTCTGTCTGCTCAGGGACCTGCAGTCTAGGAGACGGCAGACACAGTAAGACTCAACATGAGCCACGTGTGGATACTGACAAGATATGAACCAAGGAGACAGGAATGACTAATATAGGCTGCAGAGTCGAGGATGGGTGCTCAGGAGGATGAGAAGGAGGTTACCCGGTGTGGCGTGGCGTAAGGAGGATGACATTCCGGTAGGGAATGAAGAGGGAAGCACACGACCAGGCACTTTCTGGGAAGTGCAAGGGGTCTGCTACAGTCAACACTGAAGGGAGAATGTGGCAGAGATGAAGTTGGAAAGATGGGTGAGGGTCAGCACATGAAGAGAGCCTCATGAACGACCTTGACAAGTTCTAGCCAGTATCTAACAAGAGCATCTCCACTAGCAGTTCCACAGGGTCAGTTTGAGCTGAGGGAAGAAAAAAGTATTCTCTAAAACTAAGCAACAGCTATCTTCTCTGTGTCTGCTTATTTGACTCTAGGACTGAGCCTCCAGTGCACATACATGTGTGTACATTAGATACAGCAACTTATAACAAGTGGAAACAGCTGTGTCCAGCACCAGAAATATTAAATTTAGCATGACTGAGCTTCAGCACAATGCTCCACCACCGCATTAAACAATTAACTGACTCATATACTTACCATTAGATAAACTATCCTAAAACACAGTAGAGTGACTTAAATGTTTAACACATAGAAATGGAGTCTTCCCTGTTGCCCAGGCTGGGCTAGAACTCCTGACCTCAAGTGATCCTCTCACCTCAGCTTCCCAAAGTGCGTGGATTACAGGCGTGGGCTACCACACCCAGCAAATACTTTAACATCTTCATAGTCTTTTCTTTCAAATATTCTATTGCCTTGACCCTTAATCCAAAGCTCAAGAGGCCTGGAGAAGAATTTCTCCTTTCGTGAAACTTTCTGACACCCTCGTTTTCACTTTTCCTTCAACACGTACTAAATACTGATTGCAAAATATTCTCCAGATGATGCCTTTGAACTAGTTTCAAAAGGTCTCCACATGGAATTGGTTGTAAATCTTTTTATCTAAGTGATGCTGATGCTAGTGAGATATAAAAGAAGGGCTGGTGAAGGAAACATTGCGAGTTTCCACTGCAGTCTACTGACTAAAAGCACTTGCTATTTCTCCTTACTACAAGGATATGTAAAGTACTCCAAAATCTGAGAAAATAACTATAGGATCAATGATGTGCCCATTAAGATGTCATATGGTCAGAAGTTCAAGACCAGCCTGGCCAACAGGGTGAAATCCCATCTGGACGAAAACTATAGAAATTTGGTGCATGCCTGTAATCTTAGCAACTCGGGAGGCTGAGGCAGGAAAATCACTTGAACCCAGCAGGCAGAGGATGCAGCAAGCCAACATCACACCATTGAACTCCAGCCTGGGCAACAAGAGTGAAACTGTCTCAAAAATTATTATTATTACATCTACAATAAGCCAGGCATGGTGGCGCACACCTGTAATCCCAGTGCTTTGGGAGGCTGACGTGTTGTTAAAAGGTCAGAGGTTCGAGACCAGTCCGACTAACATAACGAAACCCCATCTCTACTTAAAAATACAAAAATTAGCCGGACGTGATGACGCGTGCCTGTAATCCCAGCCACTTAGGAAGCTGAGGCAGGAGAATTGCTTGAACCCAGGAGGTGGAGGTTGCGGTGAGCTGAGAGTGCGCCATTGCACTCCAGCCTGGGCAACACAGAGAGAGACTCCATCGTGCCAAAAAAAAAAAAAAAAAAAAAGGTATCTACAATAAGTTTTCCAAACTTATTGAATGCTGCCACCTATGATATATGCTATAAGTAAATACAGAAATACAGACACACAACTCTGTATTTCTTTATTCTAATGTATACACTTCTGTACATCTTAACATCTTGGAATTTTGGCTGTATCTTGTAACTGACAGCACCTCACAGAAGCACCTAAAATAATAGTGCTATTGACAACTGATCACATCTTATATTCATGAATCTAAGACACCAGGAGATGAGAATATAAACACATTTTGGGGAGTTCTAACGAGAAACTCTCCTCTCACCTAGAATAAAGAATCATTTCCAAGGCAAACAAGGCAGAGGTTGATTTTATCCTTAGTTTATTGTAAAACTGTTTTCTTCGCTTCATAATAGGAGGCAGCCTATTAAATCTAAATGTAAGGAACCTTAATTCTCAGCAAAGGAGCTCTCCAAATTATTTGATATAGATTGTACCCAAAATATAGAATTCACATTACAAATATTTTCAATTGGATCCAAAAATTAGAAAATACCAAAATAGTGACCGAAACTAAGTTAAAATCATTCTTCACACTTAAGTATTATAATAGTTAAGTAAACATTGGATATTTAAATATTGAGGAAATGAAATAAGCAGTGCACTATCACCTCGGTAACCCTATCAAAGGCATCCCAGAGCAGCTGCCTCTCCATGTTCCCAAAACCCAAATGCGCTATGCCACCTACTGTACATGACAACAACCGTTCCAGGGGACTCCAATCCCAGCACGCCCAGCTGCTGGCGCAAAATGTTGGCTGGAAAAGGAGGGGTGCAGGGACTGCTCAGAACTGTGGATATCAGACTCCCATTTCACCTGCCTCCCTGCCCCACATCCTTCCCTGCCACCTCCCTTGTAGTAATGGAAAGGGAAATACATTCCCAGAAACCTTTCCTAAACTGTAAAAAGATAAAATTCCATGCCTCATTTGTCCCTAGAGTAAAATCAATGTGGACTCTGAGGCACCTTATTAAATAAGTTCTGTGTTTTATAGTAAAATGGTTCACAATGAAAACTTAAGTTTATTTCAAGTTCCAGAATAACTTTCAAACATCCATGTGTTGGTCCGACTGCTCCAGACGTCTTCTCTAACACACTGGGATCCCCCAGGCGTTTACAAGGGCTCATGTAGTTTTCTCTATGTTGCTCTGGGA